GAATAATCCCTATTTACTAGGGAGTAGGTTGTTTGCTTTGACTCTTTCCTTTGTTGATAACCATGTTTCTGTTAGAGTAAACGTGGACTGTAATCTTTGCTTTTATTTAGGAAGTTGTAAGGCTATATAATAGCCAGAGTCTGCTGAATTCAATAGGAAGTCATTTCTCCCAGATTGAGTGTATTGTTTCACTTAAGATTCCTTGTGTTACAACAAAAAAACCCCTATTTTAGGATTTGGATTTTGGTGATAATTTTACGGTTTAGCATTTTGGGTTGATAATAGGAATTGGAATTGAGTTTTTCCAGTCACTGGTGGGTTGTTGGCACTCTTCTCATCTGCAATTGAGCCCTTGTGAAAGCATTTGGTATTTCCTCCTTGTCAAAGTAAGTTAACACTATGTTTTATGTTATTGTTAATTGAAATTCTGTGGTGATAATTTGGGGCAAGAGAGGAAGTGGGTTCTGACATTCATGAGATGAAGTGGGTTTCTCATTCTCAAAGTGTGGTGAGGTGATTTGGGTATCTCACATTCATGGTTGTAATGTTCATGCAATTTTAACTACTGTCATGCAATTGCATGTGTCTATATGCAATTACTAATCGCCTGTATGCAAATCCAAGTCACTGAATGCAATTACAGTATATAGTTTTGTTTTTAAATTATACAAGTGAGGTGATTTCGTGGTAGGTAGGTAGGTTTGACTTTGTTTTTGAATATTTTGTTATGGAGAGTAAAGTGTTTCGAAAGTGTAATGTTAGGATTGGTTAAGATTTGGATTGGGATTTGAAATGATTGAGAATCCCGGCCCAATAGAGAAATGCATGGGTGGGTTGTGTGCATTATCTGTGCAATGTTATAATCGAGGGCTGATGCACTTGCAAGTAGTGTCGTGCAATTGCGTATCAGTATATGCAATTACTAAGAGACTGTATGCAAATCCAGGTCCCCTTATTTTTTTTTTAAATAAAGCAATGTGATCTTGTGGTGTTTACGGGGTTTAAGGTGTATTAGGCTTTGGATTAGTATTCAAATTCTTGACGCTAGAGACAATTGCATGATAGTGTTGTGTACTTAATTTGTGCAGGTTATGGAAGCTCAAAAAAGGGGATCAACAAAAGGAAAGCGCAAGGCTGAGAGTAATGTGCAACAATCAAGAGTTGGCCGAGATGCATTTTTTAATTTCATGTAAGTTACACGTACATCTAAAAATTAGAAATATGGTTGCTTAATATTATGATGGTTTTTTGATTAAAAATAAATTATTTACAGGAAAAAAGAACGACATGAAATGGGGAAAGTGACCAATGCAAGGTTGGACAGTAAGGTGATAGATAACAATGGAATGGGTCAGCTTTTTAATTATTTTATTAAAAAGACTCTTTCTGAACTGTCGCTCATCCTACTCCTATATATTGTGGAGCTGGATAGTCTTGACAGCTCAAACCAGTGGCAGAGGATGGATCGGACTCGCTTGAATCGTCTCAGAGTTGCGTCGGCCTTTCGGACCAGCGATCGTTGTGTCATCATGGGAAGATGCGTTAAAGTTGTTGGGTGGTTCTGCGTTCACGGCAGCAGCGGCAGCGGCACTGATATTCGGCGTTCGTACAGAACGTCATCTACTCAACAAGATTGCCATCTTCTCCAATTCCTATTGCTCGTATGTTATTATCTCTCTATTGCTTGTTTATTTTGTCTTTTGTGATAAATTTAAGGTATTGGGATTGGAAATTCATAAAGAAATCAAATTGGAATTTGAGAATTGTGAGTTGGTCAATTTGTATGAGAAATATTTAGTGTGTTCATGTTGAGGAAAATATGAATCCTTCATCTCAAATGGGACGTTTTTACTAATTTATAGATTACTTTTCATTTTCATGTATTGATTGCATTGTTTTCTAATTCTGGGAAATGAATTGGTACATTTCATCTACTAAATCTTTAGCTTTTTGTTATTGAAATAGTTAGCAAGTTGAGTAGAAATGTTTAGAAGAAGAACTATGTGCATGCCTGTGTGCATGGATTTAAGTCATGTTGGAATGAGGGATTGTGTGCTGTTTTGTGGATTCTTCTTTGAGGGTCTCTTGCTTGGTGAGAATTGTAGAGACACAGAAAGGGGAAGTGAGTGGACAGAGCCAAACTCTCACCCAGAAGCAGCTCCTCATCACTTTCATGTGGTACAACAAAATTTCAGGCCAAAGCTTCACCGTCAACATTGGGGGACAAAGACAATACCTCTTCACCATTCAAATTCAACTTTAATTCACATGCATATGGTAGGGAGATTTTAGTTCCCACGTATCTGGCTTCTCTTGGTTGTTGTTTCTTTGTTTTTTCTCTCTTATTTTTTAAGAGACAAGGAAATGGAAAGTGGGTAGACAGAGCCAAACTCTCACCCAGAAGCAGCTCCTCATCACTTTCATGTGGTACAACAAAATTTCAGGCCAAAGCTTCATCATCAACGTTGGGGACAAAGACAATACCTCTTCACCATTCAAATTCAACTTCAATTCACATGCATCTGGCTGGGAGATTTTAGTTCCCACGCATCTGGCTTCTCTTGGTTGTTGTTTCTTTGTTTTTTCTCTCTTACTTTTTTAATTTATTTAGAGCAACAAGTTTGGGTTCTGTGAATTTTTCTTCCTTCAATTTTTCCCTTGTCCTTTTTTTAAAATAAAAATTAATATGAGGTTCTCTGATCTATTAAATTAGATTTTTTTAATCGTAGCATAAGATTTCATTTTATTGTAAAAAAAATTCATTCACCTTAGTCATCAAAGAATATAGAGCATTGGTTATGTTGGTTGTTGATTGATTGCAAATAAAACAGATGGAGGAAAGGGTAATTGTACACCGTGGTCTAGTTTTTGTATCATGGGACGTGCAATTGCGTAGTCTCTTTAAAGCCTAAACTAGAATAAAATTCATTTTTAATGACTTTTGTAAACCAAGATATGCAATTGCATACCATTTATGCAATAGTTGACCATATATATGCAATTATTACCATTTGTACAAACAAATTTCACTCTCTTGCTTACTTGAAGTACACAAACTAGTGTAGATTTAATAAGCAAGTGAAACTTTTTCAGGTTTTTGGAACTCAAATGGTTTTTCAGGTTCTTATACTCGAGATCAATATTTTAATCATTACCCTTAACATGGATAGTGATGAATCCAATTTCTGCCCTTCACAAAGGTAAAGCCAAGTATTAAAATATCGGGCGTGCAGATAATATCGGGCCTCCAGTTTACAGATATTTCGAGGAATATATCGTTATCGTTTTAAGTATCGGAAAAAAAAATCAACAAAAATGACAAATATAGGCATTGAAATACGTAATTTTGGTGTAAAATTTTCATACCCATACACTTTTTCCTTAAATAATAATAATAATAATTTTTTCAACTCAAGACAAAACACCCATTCATGTATTCTTCTTTCTCGTGAACTCTTATTTTTTCTTACCGAACATACCAACATTTAAATTTATCAAATGAACGCAACATACTCAACGAACGCAACCCCTGCGTCCGAGTGAAAAAATAATGCGTTTGTTTGATAAAGTATTTTACTTGGTCCAATTTATCGGGAAACGGGTAACTTTACTCAATGAACATAACCCTTGCGTTCGCGTGAACAAATAGCTTGTTTGTTTGAAAAAGTAAGTTAGTTGGGCCCATTTTTCCGGGGAACGGACAACTTTACTCAACAAACGGGAACCATTGCATTCGCATGAATAAAAAGCCCGTTTGTTTGAAAAAGTAAGTTAGTTGAGCCCATTTTTCCGAGGAACGAGCAACTTTACTCAACGTAACCTCTGCTTTCGCGTGAACAAATGGCCTATTTGTTTGAAAAAGTAAATTAGTTGGGCCTATTTTTTTAGGGAACGGGAAACTTTACTCAACGAATGCAACCCATTGCGTTTGCGTGAACAAATAGCCTGTTTGTTTGAAAAAGTAAGCTAGTTAGGACTATTTTTCTGGGGAACATGCAACTTTACTCAACGAACATAACCCCTGCATTCGCGTGAACAAATAGCCTGTTTGTTTGAAAAAGTAAATTAGTCGGGCCCATTTTTTAGGGAACGGGCAACTTTACTCAATGAATGCAACCCATTGCGTTTGCGTGAACAAATAGCCCATTTGTTTGAAAAAGTAAGTTAGTTTAGACTATTTTTCCGGGGACCGTGCAACTTTACTCAACAAACGTAATCTCTGCGTTCGCGTGAACAAATAAGCTGTTTGTTTGAAAAAGTAAATTAGTTATGCCCATTTTTTAGGGAACGGGCAAATTTACTCAACGAATGCAACCCATTGCGTTTGCATGAATACATAGCCCGTTTGTTTGAAAAAGTAAGTTAGTTGAGACTATTTTTCCGGGGAACGTGCAACTTTACTCAACGAATGCAACCCCTGCGTTTGCGTGAACAAGTAACCCATTTGTTAGAAAAAGTGAGATAGTGAGGTATCTTTTTTCAGGAAACAAGGGACTTTACTCAACGAACATAACCCATACGTTTGCGTGAACAAATAGCTCGTTTGTTTGGAAAATAAGTTAATTGAATCATTTTTCAGGGGAACGGGCAACTTTACTCAACGAACGCAATTTCTGCGTTTGCGTGAAACAATAGTTCGTTTGTTTAAAAAAGTATGCTAGCTAAGCAAATTTTTCTCGAGAATGGGAAACTTTACTCAACAAACGCAACCCATGCGTTTGTGTGAACAAATAGCTCGTTTGTTTGAAAAGTAAGTTAGTTTGGCCCATTTTCCTGAGAACGGGCAACTTTACTCAACGAACACAACCTCTGCGTTTGCGTGAACAAATAGTCCGTTTGTTTGAAAATGTAAGTTAGTTGGGCCCATTTTTTGGGAAAACGGGCAACTTTACTCAATGAACGCAACCTGTACATTTGCGTGAACAAATAGGCCGTTTGTTTGAAAAAGTAAGTCAATTGGGTCTATTTTTCCAAGGAACAGGTAACTTTACTCAACGAACACAGCCTCTACATTTGCATGAACAAATAGCCCGTTTGTTTGAAAAAGTAAGTTAGTTGGGCCCATTTTTTTTTGAAAGAATAGGCAACTTTTCTCAATGAATGCAACCCCTGATGTTTGCGTGAACAAATAGCCCGTTTGTTTGAAAAAGTAAGTTAATTGGGCCCATTTTTCCGAAGAACGGGCAACTTTACTCAACCAACCTAGCTTTGTCATTTTTACTAGAAGGCTCATCGGCTCACTCTTATAATGTATGCAAAGATCGCCAAATTTCCTCTTTTTGGCTAGAGATTTTCCTTTGGTTTCTCAAAGAGATTTTCCTTTCACAGAGAATAACGCAAAACTTGGCACCACCCCTCAGAAGACACAATCAAATAATAAAACATATTTGTATTTCACCTAAGCAACTCATGATTTTGGCAAAAAGACAAATTATCCAGTACAAATTTCCTTTATTTGTTTTTTCAGATGTATCCATACTCCTTTTCAGTAACCAATGCAGTGATGTGAACCTTCCTTGCAATTTGTGCATCTACAATAGGAAAAATGGAAAAAACTCATTCAAAACTTATTTATCTCAACATTTGAAAATTACAACAAATCCTTCCCTCAAATAACCCTTCTTTTTTGTTGCAAAAAACACTTCCTTGAGTGTTTTTTTTAATCAAAAACATATTTTTCTTAATTAATGGACATTCGAAATTGTAACTATTTGTAAAAGTATCGCTACTTTTAAAAATTATATATAACAATTACATACTACTTGAAACAGTTAAAAATGTTAAAACCCAAGCTTGGGGACAGTGTATAACCTGAATCCAATACAATTTTAAACATAAACCATACTTTGAACCCTAAAGCCCAAACCCAATTTAATGTTAACCATAAAGCCCAAGCCTAAATTAAAGCCTTAACCCTTTAATTTTAACCCTACAGCCTAACCCCAATTCATACGATCCGTAAAGCCCAACCCATTTCAATTTTAACTTTTAACCATAAACCACAAACCCTAAACCCTAAACAATTGAATTTGAATCATATAGGCCAAAACCAATTCATACAATTCGTAAAGCCCAAACCCTTCAATTTTAACCGTAAATCGTAAACCATAAACCCTAAACCGTTGAATTTCAACCACAAAGCCCAAACCCAATATCATTTTAACCCTAAAGCCCAACCCAATTCAATTTTAACCATAAAGCCGAACCCAATATGATATTAACCCAAAAGCCCAAATCCAATTCAATTTTAACCCTAAAGCCCAAACCCAATACAATTTTAACAATAAAGCCCAACCCAATATCATTTTAACCTAAAGCCCAAACCCAATTCAATTTTAACCATAAAGCCCAAACCCAATTCCATTTAAACATGACATAGGTAGAAAAAGAAAGACCAAAATTGTGATACCAGAAGAGCATGAAGAAGATGAGGAAGAGGAAGAAGAACAGGAAGAAGAACAGGAAGTGGAATATGAAGAAGAACAGGAAGAGGAATATGAAAAAGAAGAGGAAGATGAAGAGGAGAATGAAGACGAAGCTTGGATCGAACACGGGGATGAGGATGAGGATGAGGATGCCGATGAGGACGGGGCTGCAGCTAAGGGTAATTCGGATGCTGAACAACACTCCAAAGACAAAAAAGGCAAAGGTGAGAAAAGTCTTTGTTCACGTACCCCAAAGAGAAGGAAAAACCAAGTAAATTATGGATACGATTACATTTTTTTGGATCATTGATCCGTTTTGTAATATAATATGTTCAGTTTATTGCCTCTTACCATTTCTCATGCTCTATATTTCAGTTCATTTTGCGGCCTTCAATTGATAGTACACAAAAATAGGTCTAATTATGCCAATAAAAAAAAAATTTGATCAAGTTTTCCTTTTTAGGGGTTTGCGCACATTCACTCTCACATTGCATCAACGTCGTGCAATTGCATGTTTACAATGCAAACGCCGACTGGCTGTGTGCAAACTAAAGCAAGCTTAAAAACGTGAACCTAATTAATGTATAGCACAAAGACAAAGAAAAGCAAGTTCCAAATTTTATTAGACCATATGTGTATTATTCAATATTATGGTTAATCACATTTTGGTTTACGAAATTGGGGATATTTTGGAATGTGATTCACACTACATGATACGAAATCAAATTTAGTAATCCTAATAATTTGTGAAATATGTTATTAACCAGCTAACATGTTTAAAAACCTATTTAACATGACTCAAAATAGACACGACACGTTTATTAAATAGGTCGGGTTTGAGTTGAGCATTTTATCCACGACACGATCCATTGCCAGCCCTAACTCAAAGCGTTTCTGATGCTCTATATTTCGGTTAATTTTACCCTTCAATTTATAGAAAAAAATAGGTCTAATTATGCATGTACAATAAAATATGATCCAATTTTCATTATTATAGGTTTGCGCACAGTCACTCTTGGTTTGCATCACCGTCATACAATTGCATGTGTGCAATGCAAATGCCGACCGGCTGTGGGCAAACTAAACATAGCTTAAAAACGCAAACCTAATTAATGTATAGTGCAAAGACAAAAAAAGGCTAAATCGGAATTTCGAATGACACGGTTACATCGGAGATAGGGCGATTCAAGTGGAGTAACTAGTTGATGATTGTGATCTGGTTCAAAATTCGTAACGACGTAAACATCATGTTTCTTCTCATAACCCACCCAAAAATGGCCAAAACAATTCTTTCTTGTAATGGGCTTCGGTGGTCGAATTTTATCTAATCGATCATTAAACTTCTCATTTCTCAAACCTTCTTTAGAACAACACTACCGTCTCCTACATACTTTCCCTTCCGAATTTCAAACCAATTTGTCTTTTCTCATGCTAAATCCAATGCCCTTTGCATAACTCATATAATATTGTTCCGCTAATTCTATCGTTTTAAACTTTTTCCCTATAACATCTTCTTTCCTCGGTGCAATCATGTCAACACCATTATCATCACTACTTTGACTAACCATATCTTCGACCGACATATGCCCACTTTCTGTTGCCGGTGCCCTGTGACTCGACCTTTCACAACCACCTAGATACCCTGAATCACTACAACCACCCTTTGATGTCTCTACACCTCTGTCCATCTTACCAGACCCCTCCATGCCTGAGAAACATAATTTCAAACTGAAATTACATTATACTCTATGTGCTAACATACTTTCTCTTAAAAAAACACAAATGAATAATATCATGCAATTGCACATACTCAGGTCAATAATTGCACCACGTATAACTGTTTTGCAACAAAAAAACATGCAATTGCATTAACTCATTACCCAAAATACATTCAAGTCTTGAACTAGAAAAAAGGGTTCTTTGAAATCTTACTTGATGTTTCCATACTTTCAAAGCCTCATTCTTACACTTTCTTTTGCCACCAACTCAAATGTCGTCGTTAACAGCCAAGGATCTTCAAAATCTTTACAACCACTTGTTATTACAAATCCATTACCCTGCGAAATTGAAATTCTATAGCAGACAATGCATATGAGTTTTGGGCAAGCAGAGAGAAGAGTTGAGAACCTCAATTCAGTGAGCATTACCTTTTTGCAGATGCGTTTTGCCTAAGCACAGACAACAGTTGGACGTGCTTAGGGTGGATTTGGCAAAGTGAGAGAGAAGAGTTCCTAGCGAAGTAGAGCCAAGAGTTCGTCGGCAAGCAGAGAGAAGAGTTCCTGGAAGTGCTAAGGATTGGATTTGGGCAATCAAAGAGAAGAGTTGCTGGAGGCGCTAAGGATTGGATGGGCTCTCACAATTTTTGATTTGGGCAACAACAGAGGAGAGCGCACGTCTTCTTCATCCTCCAAACCTGCCTTTCTCTTTCCTCACATGCCACTCACGTGTTGAATAAAAATGGCTCAACAGGTTACTAAGTCATTGAATCTCAGCCATCTTTTTTAACATGGAAACTCAACCGTTGCATAGCCGGCTGTACCGGTACAGCTGAGGCACCGCAGAATTTTTCCTACTTTCAAACATGGTGCCACTGACTCTGAGACCTTGGAATTATCAGAAGGAGGTGAAATAGATTTTGTTGGTGTTCCATTGACTCCAGGGCTATTAGAGCTTTGCTTTTGGCTTGACTTAGATGTCCATTCCTTATTAGGCAAGAAAGCTTTCTGATGGCCCATGGGTTGTTGATGCCTTCCATTTTAGATGCATCCACAACAATTAAACTTTTCTTCAATTAATATTCCACTAGAACTCCTTTCCATGTGCATTCATCATTTGCCTCTTTGGGTTCGTCATCTACAAATGCCACACCCTTTTATTGGAATTATCTTTCATAAAGAAGGTCTCACTTGCGGGTGGAGAAGCACAAACAACAGATTCCTATTCTTCAATATTTGCTGGTGACGACAAGCATCCCACACCATTTTGACACGACGTCAACTACACTGTGATGGTAATTAACTCAAACTCTCTCTTTCTGCAGCTGGTCACTGAGGTCAGTCGTGGATATAAATTGACACTTGCACAGATGCATTCCAGGTGTTTGATAAAATGACAGAGTGAATTCTTGAGATTTCGTTGAGTTGCTAATTCCACCCATTTTGATCCTTTAAGCTTCCAAAGTTATCGTTTTAGCTCCAAACCCTTGCTAGGAATGGTTGCCTACAAAATCTTCACTAAACACATTAAACTAACCAATTTCACAAGAAAACAATGCAAATAGAGATAGATTATATATGCAAAATATGAATCTATCATCAAGCAAAGGAAACAAATGCATGAGCATGAAAACTATTTCCCATCGCTCCTTTGACCAAAATTTCCATGGCTCCCAATATAATCTTCTTTCTCTCTAACTTCACTATTGATTATCTTCAGTACATGCAACCCATTAGAATTAGGATTCTCAGTGTAACGACCCGGTCCTAAATAAATTGGTAAATATTAATTTATTCAGATAAAAGACCATTTTGCCCCCATAATATTTTATTAGTTTTAAAGTTGACTTTTTTATCAGGAAGGAATTTGGGAATTCAGACAATACTGTTGCGTAGATCACGGCGAGATGAGTCCATAGACACGTCGTGGGCTCGAATCAGAGTTGTAACGAGAGAGATACGATCAAAATACCCTCAGTGGCATAATCGTAATTTTGGCGAAAAGAGTTTGATAAAAATCTGATTTCTCTCTCTCTCTCTCTCTCTCTCGCTCCTCTGCGCAGTCCCCATCTCTCTCCTCTCTCGCAACGGCAGTAACAGCCGGCCACGTTTTGGCTGGCCGTGCTCTCGTCGGACCACCAAAGCTGACGAGGCCGGTACCAAAATGATCGGACCGCCATCCTCTTCCAACCCCAGCCAAGCCCCGTCGTCAGCCGCCATGATTTCACTGAAAAATTGAAGAGAAACGGCTGGTTTTCACTCGAATTTCTCCGACTTCGTTCTCCGTCATCCGGCCACCAACCCGGCAAATAAGGTATGGTTTCTCACCTATTTTCCGAGCTCTAGCTGATGGTTGGGTAGGATTTCATTAATTTTGAGTGTTGATGGTTTGATTTTCAAATTGAAAATCGGCCAGCTTTTGGATCGCTATTCCAGCCACTTCCGGCTATTTTTCGGGTATGTCCAAGAATAAAAGTGACTCCAAATGGGGTTTTACACCTAGGATAGGAAGCTTAGCTGGCGGTTTAGAGTTTTTTGGGCCACCGTAAATTTCTCAAGGCACCCTAAAATGGTCTGTCTTTAGGTCCTAAAGTGATCTCCTGGTCCTCACGAGCACGTAGGTGTGCTCGGATTTCAATTTGGATACCGTTTGAGTATCAAACGGATTTCTCCTATTGTGCGTTATCCGGGTTTGACATGTTTAGACCGTTAGATCGACTCCATTTCTATATATGTTGATCTAGGCATTTCTAGGATCGTATAGGATAGTAAAACGGAGTCCTGGATACTCCGAAAATGCCAACCCTAGGGCTAGGTTTACAATAACCGTTCGATCGTGCGATCATGAGTGATCCGACCGTTCGATCTGGACCAAACTTGCAGGATGTGTGTCATAAACCTTGTAGGACTCATGGGAACTTTCGGATTGGAATTTGGAGGTCGTGGGCCATTTGACCAAGTTTGGGTAGCTTGACCCTTGGTTGACTGTGGGTCTTCCGGGGTAGTCTTACCTTCATAGGAGGATTAAAATGACCATAGGGACAGGTCCTGAGTGTTAGTTGAGTTATGTTGATATGGTGGGATTATGGTATTAGTTATTGTCTTAAACTAGGGGAAAATGGAAATGAATATTATTATTATTTATTGGGGGAAAGCTATATATATATATATACATTAAAGATATAAAGATGTTTAATTACACTGTGTGAGTACCATGTTATGAGATGAGAGGTCGCACGCGGCGTAGGATTTTTCGGCTTGTTGACAAACCCTATACGTGGCGTTGGATGTTCCAGCGTATAAGGAGATTATGTGATATGAGATGAGAGGTCGCCGCGGCGTAGGATTTTCCGGCGTGTTGACAGACCCCATACGTGGCATTGGATGTTCCGGAGTATGGGGAGATTATGTGATATGAGATGAGAGGTCACACGTGGCGTTGGATTTCTCGGCTTGTTGACAGACCCTATACGTGGCGTTGGATGTTCCGGCGTATAGGGAGATTATGTGATGTGAGATGAGAGGTCACACATGGCATTGGATTTTCCGGCATGTTGACAGACCCCATACGTGGCGTTGGATGTTTCGGCGTATGAGGAGATTATGTGATATGAGATGAGAGGTCGCATGCGCCGTAGGATTTTCAGGCGTGTTGACAGACCTCATACGTGGCGTTGGATGTT